GTGGTGAAGGTCCCCCGCGAGTTCATGCGCGCGGCGCTGCAGCGGGCGGTGCACGAACTGCTAGATGACGCAGTGGCGCAGGTGCGCGCGCGTGTGCAACTGCTGGTGATCTGCTGATTCGCTTCCTCATTGGATCCCGCCCTGCGCCGGGGCCAGGCAGGGGGCATAAGCGAGCCACGAGGTGGGAATGCCTGCAGTGGAAATGTTTGCTGCTGCATCACGGCGACGGGGCAAGCTTGCGGCCGAGCTCGGCGCTTAAACTGTGCGCTGTGTTTGGACAGGGGCGCCTCTGCCGTTGCTGCGATGGCGATTGTGTTGGGATGACCTTGCGGTGGGGGAGCAAACGAGGGCAGACGCAAGGGACGCAGGGACGGGCGCTGCGAGCTAGAGTTTGGGGTTGTTCGTTGCGGCACATGCGTTCATTGGTTTGTCGTGGATTGAGCATGGCAGGGAGGAGCGCGGTCCGCCGCGCCATGGCGCTGGGACGCCGCCAGTCGTCGCGCCAGACGCAGCGCGCCGGCGGCGGGCGGAACACACAAGCAACGCAGCTCCCCAAGCGGCACGCGGCACCCCTTGCGCCTGCATGCATCGTTGAGCCCGACTTGATACCGCCGCGCCCTTGCTACCCTGCAATCGACAGCGGCGCCGCACAAATCGACAGCCCCCTCTCATGCCAGCACCCATGGCCCTCCGCCCTGCCCTTCCCCGCCCCTTTCCCCCAAACCCAACACCCCCTGCCGCCGTGCACGCACGCGCAGGGCCCGCCGCCGCCCTCGCAGCTGGCCGCGCGCGTGCGCTGCCTGCAGGCGGCCGTCGCGCAGCTGGCGCCGGCGCTGGGCTTTGACCTCAGTCCCGACCTTTTTGAGTCTCTGCTGCTGCACTGCCAGCCGGAGCCGGGGTCGGACGCGCACCCCTTGGACGGGCCGGGCAGCGCAGGTGCGGGCGCACGCACGCGCGTGTGTGTGTATGTGTGTGAGTGAGTGAGTGAGTGAGAGAGAGAGAGAGAGAGAGTGTGTGTTTGTGTGTGCACGTGCGTGCGTGCTTGGGGACCCGTGTGCGGCGGGGAGGGGAATGCAATGAGATTTCGAGGCGTGAAGAAGCTAGAGGGGCGGGCCGGCAGGGCCCGCTGCATGGCGGGGTGCGGCGGCAGTCGAGCGGCCGAGGCTCTGACGAGTTGGAGCGCTGCCGCCGGGGCCTGACGCCGATGCCCGCAGGCGGCAGCGCGGAGGGGCCGCAGGGGCCCGCGCTGCGGATGGTGGAGGCGTACGGCGCGTGGCTGCAGGTGCGCGGGGCTGGCTGCATGCGTGAATCGCCGCCTGAGAGCAGGCTGCGACCTGGGCGAAGGTTCAGGGTTTCAGGGCTCCAACACAACGCTTGTTTCCTGGCGGTAGAGGCAGCATCTTGCAAGCGCCGGCGGCCCCGGCTTGCAGAGCACTCAAGAGCTGCGCGCCCCGCGAGCGCCTCGACGCCGCCGCGCACCCTCACCGACAGATGCCCCATTCCTCCCCCACCAAAAAACCCCCAAAACACCCACCCACCCACTTTCGCACGTACCCCCCAATCCCACCCCCCCAGGACGTCCTCGTGCGCGACTCCCGTGGCGTGGGCGTGATGTACGCCCCCGCGGCGCGCGCGTTCACGTGCGTGTCGCGGGGGGCGCGCGCCGAGGTGGCGGCCTACGCGTCGCTGGGGGAGCTTACTGAGCTGTTCAGGGTGGGGGCCGCCGTCGCGCTGGTGCTTTTCGTTTTGGGTTTTCCGGCTCTCAGGTGTCCCCAGGTGGCAAGGTGGTTTGCGCTGAATTTCAGCGTTTCTATCGGCCGTTGGCATTAACATATTCAACCCTGCTGTTTCCGAGATTTCATTCATGTCTGTTTTCGGGATTCAACACTGGGGTCGGGGGTTCGACTCTGGGCTGGGGGTTTGCATGGCGCCTCACCTCGTTTTGTCCCCTCGACTGCCCGCCGTTGCGGCACGGGCGGATGCCCCGGCCCCGCCCTCGCGCCTGGCGCGCCCGCGACCCCCGCCTCGCGCCCGGTCCCCCAACAAGCGAGCCGCCCCTGGTGGCACACCCAAGTCC